GTGATGGTGAAGATCCTATGACGGTGTGATGGTGAAGATCCTATGACGGTGTGATGGTGATGATCCTATGACGGTGTGTATATCATGGCCAGAAGGATGGGAAAGCTGGAGTTAGCGTCTCGGCTACGTTTTAGCGAAGCTGTCGATCAGCTGTGACTGGCTTAATTTGGAGAGTTCTCCAAACCAACCGACATGATGGCGGATGGTGAAGGCTGTCTTGCCCCATTCTGCTCCTCATAATTATGATCTTCATTAAATTTCTGCCCAACGGGATTCATACATTGTTTTCTGTATTGAACGGTAATCAGCATTAATTATAAACTTGCTGCCGTTTCTCCTCTTTCTCCTCTCAGCGGTGGGAGCGCTCACCTGGCTGGAGGAGCGTCTGTTGAGCTGGTGAGGCCTGGCAGCTCATCCACCTGTACTGCGGATCTTACAGTTGGAGCCAGAGCGGACCTGGCATTACATGGCTTAGTTTCTGCATCCATCGCTCACTTCTAATCTATCCTGAGGATTTTTCTCTTGCCTCATTTGTTTCCCACCTGGTTATCATTTAGGTTGTACAATCAATGTTATAATCAGTGATTCTTTACTAGGACCACTGTGTTTCTTTATGATAAGATATGACAAACTCCTGGCTCTGTGTTAAAGGCAACTCTGGGGCTGCTGCATGCTCAGAGTGGCCGTTACTGGAAGTGGATTCTGATTACTCCTTCTGCATATGTCAGATTTAAATTCTAACTACAGTGGTAGTCTATAGGACTATTTTAAGAAAAAAAATGTAAACATACATTCTGTAGATTTCCCCATTCATTTTTTAAAAGGCATAATTAAATAAATCAATAAAAAAATCAGTGCCCCAGGCATACCCAGGCACCGCAGATCCACAACGGGGCAGTGCCCCTGTTAAAAGCCGATGCTTCACCTCTTGGCTGATTGGGCATACTGCGAAGCATAGGACCTCCTGATGTTCTCATCCTCTTCCATCTCTGCTCCAGATTCCTCCTCTTCATCCTCCTCTTCTTCATCTTCATCCTCTTCCTGTGCTAGCTCCTCCTCCTCCATGCCTCCATGGCGTTTTGGGTTGATGTGAGGCTGTAAAGAAGACCAGCATGTCCAGCATGTGTTCTTCATTAGCCCAGATCATGCTCAGACTTACTGTGCTCACTGATCCATGGTGCTGACTGGGCTGCTGTCTGCGGCTGTGGTCAGAGGTCTCTGGGGAGTCCAGGGCCCGGCCCCTCCAGGAGCCCAGAGGAAGGCTGGAGTAATGGGCTGTTGGGGGAGGCGAGCGGCTGCTGATGGAGCGTTCTAGAGGCCACATCTGGGAGTCAAGCATCCTAATTCTGCCAGTGAAGAGCTGTGACGGGAGGAGGTCATACCATTCACTGCTGAAGCCTAACTGAGCTAACTCTAGAGATTTCAGATCATCCAGTGGGCTGCAGCATCAAAGAACACCTGAGTTCAAACTTTTTTCAAATCTAGACATCATTAGTTACAGAAAAATGCTAATGACATCATCAACAAAGGGAGAAAACCTGAAAGATACTGGGCCTTCAGCTGTTCAAGTCATTGCACTGAAGCTTGTAGTTCTAATTTGACTTGCATCATTTAGGTGTGTTTCTGTCTCATAATGGCATTCATTAAGGCAAAGTGTTCTTCTGTGGTCCCAAGAAAGATAAAGGATCAGGAACTACACTAACTACACAGACTGGAACTATAGGAACAGGAACTATAACAACAGGAAATACAGGATAGGAAATACAGGAACGGGAACTACAGGAACTACAGGGACAGGGACTACATGAACTATAGGAACAGAACCTACAGGAACAGCAGTGAAAGGAACTACAGGAACAGGAGCTACAGAAACTACAAGAACAGAAACTCTAGGAAAAGGAACTAAAGGAGCTACAGGAACAGGATCTGTAGGAACTGGAACTACAGAAACAGGAACTACAGGAAAAGGAACTATAGGAACAGTACCTATGGTAGCAGGAACTATAAGAAAAGGAACTGTGGGAACAGGAACTACAGGAACAGGATCTACAGAAACAACAGGAACTGTAGGAAGAGCTACTGTAGGAACTGGAACTGTAGGCACAGGAACTGTAGAAACAGGAACTACAAGAACAGGAACTACAGAAACTACAGGAACAGGAACTACAGGAACATGAGCTACAGAAACTACAAGAACAGAAACTCTAGGAAAAGGAACTAAAGGAGCTACAGGAACAGGATCTGTAGGAACAGGTACTACAGGAGCAAGAACTAAAGAAACTACAGGAACATGAACTACAGGGACAGGAACTACAGGAACTGTAGGAACAGGAACTACAGGAACCGCAACTATAACAATAGGAACTATAGGAACAAGAACTAAAGAAACTACAGGAACATGAACTACAGGGACAGGAACTACAGGAACTGTAGGAACAGGAACTACAGGAACAGCAACTACAAGAACAGGAACTACAGAAACTACAGGAACAGGAACTATAGGAACAGGAACTACAGGAGCAAGAACTAAAGAAACTACAGGAACATGAACTACAGGGACAGGAACTACAGGAACTGTAGGAACAGGAACTACAGGAACAGCAACTATAACAACAGGAACTATAGGAACAGAAACTATGGGAACGGGAACAGGGGGAACAGGAACTACAGGAAATAAAAGAACAGGAACTAAAGGAACTAGAAGAACAGGAAATACAAGAACAGGAACTATAGGACCAAGAACTATAGGAACAGGAACTAGAAGAACAGCAACTGTAGGACCAGGAACTCTAGGAACAGGAAATTAGCAGCTCCATGCTGCTGAGTAGATGAGGCCCTTGAAGTTTCTGCTTCCTCTCTGGATTCATTATTTGAGTTGTTGGTTTTATTTGTTTATTTTTTTTATTCAGGTTCCTCTTTTCTGATGCCAGCGTTCATTTGATGATCTGAATTAGTTCTGTTCTCTTTCTGTTCAGACTGTTCCAGCTTAGATACAGACCTCCAGGTCCTTCTCTGCATTCATGGCCTCCATGTTTTGGTACGTGTGGGAGAAGACCTCCAATGCTTTAGCATGAAAGAGCATCTCAACTGTGAGGAACTCTCTGAAAATGTTCTGCAAAGAGAAAGAAGAAAGGGGGTTTAAAGAAGGAAGCAGTATCTGCTCAGCGATATGTGAACAGATCCAGACTTTAACATCTTCCAGTTTCTGCCTCTGGAAATGGGTCATGGTCTCCTCGAAGTGCTTGATGCTTTGCTGGGCGTTGGTGGAAGCCCTCTGAGCATCAACCTCTGCCTGCAAAAGCAACATGGTCTCATCTCACGGACTGTTGGCCCTGAAATACCAGGCTTTTCAAAATGATTTTACCTGAGCCTGCAGACATGAAGGAAGTCAAGGAAAATGATCTCAGTTAGATGATTGATCAGAGCGTATCGGCAGCCCTGGTCCTTCTGTGCACCCCTGATCAGACCAGGATGGACAAACCAAACCCTGGGAAGGCGCATTGGGCAGGTCAGAGTGTTTACGTGTCTGCTTCTAATACTTCTACAGCAGGACTGATGTTGATGCTGTTCTTTTAACCCAGATAGAAACACAGTGAAAGGAGTTGCTGTTGTTCCCTTAACTAGGATAGACATGCAGTGAAAGGAGTTGATGTTGTTCCCTTAACTAGGATAGAAACACAGTGAAAGGAGATAATATCGTTCCCTTAACTAGGATAGAGATGTAGTGAAAGGAGTTAATGTTGTTCCCTTAACTAGGATAGAGATGTAGTGAAAGGAGTTAATGTTGTTCCCTTAACTAGGATAGAAACGCAGTGAAAGGAGTTGATGTTGTTCCCTTAACTAGGATAGAGATGCAGTGAAAGGAGATAATATTGTTCCCTTAACTAGGATAGAGATGTAGTGAAAGGAGTTAATGTTGTTCCCTTAACTAGGATAGAAACGCAGTGAAAGGAGATAATATTGTTCCCTTAACTAG